AGCGACCCTGTGTAGGGTTTCCGAAGAGCAGCTGGTGAGCTTGAACCGCCAACCCTGCAGTTCAAACGGCTTTGCAGTCTGGCGCATCAACCCACGGCACCACACCAGGCCTCCGGCAGAAAGCGTATGACTCAGAAATCTGAGGTTGCTGAGAGAAAGGTGCAGCAGAAAATACCCTGGTGATCAGTTTGCATTTTAGAATCTTTATGTGTTTGGCAACGACTTATTGTACTTACCAATCTATTTATTCACTGAGCATTAGCGGTGGTGACATTGAAGGAGTTATGGCTTATTGTCATCAATAAAACCTTCCAGGATATGCCTGCTTATGTGCCTGGGCTGCAATATTTGGTCATGTGGAAGCAGGACAACTAAAAGAGGACAGGTTTGGTAACAAGTCATTTCTTGCCATCCCTCCAGTTTCCATTGAAGTGTGGAGATGCATCAAAATGATTTCAATGGTTCCTTCCAGCTTTAAGATGAGACATAGCTACGATTGTGTACTCAGCCCTCTACAACACCTCACAGCTGACCTTACAGCCAGTCGTACCCACCTGTCCTGGTTTGGGAGGGCTTAGAAGTCCTTCAAAGCCAGCTGTACTCTGCCTGATTCTCAAAGAAAACACCATGGTGTGTGCGTGTGAATTTGTGACATAGTCTCCTTTTGCTACTTTTTAATGGGTCCTCGCAACTGCTTTTCCATGAAAGGAGATCATTTGGTCCTCCCTGTCATGTTACCATGAGCCATCAAGCCTTGTCCTGCACAGGTTCTCGTGATGTCTCTCTCCAGTTGTTATTTTCCAAGTTCTCTACCATTTGCATCAAGGCCCTGGGACTGCCTCTGGGGCTGGGATAATTATGGCAATCTGCAGGGAGGTGACACACTCATCATGCTTTAGCCATCTTCCCTGGAATTGCCTTTGATCCCATTCTTAGCTGGGAAAGTAACCATTAAGTGATGTCTATCTTTGGTTTCATTTACATGGGAGAAAAGAGGATTAAACCAGCAATGGATAGTTTCATGATCTTAGAGATGGCCACTGTCCAGGCTGTGACCAGGACTCTTAAAATCACTGGTCCCCATTCCCATGGAGTCTTCCAAAATCCTGGGACTGAAATCTATATGGTTTCTGTTAACTAGGAATTTCTTTCTTCTGTTCTTCCTTTTTGTTTTTCTGTTTTATTTAGTAGGTAAAATTTGAGGGTCTCTCAAATATTCATGGGAGTGCAATGGTTCTGTAGGACAAGCACTGGGCTGCTGACCACAAGGTTGGTGGTTCTAACCCACCAGCAGGAGAAAGATGAAATGTTCTGCTCCCATAAAGACATACAGGTTCCCTATGAGTTGGAACTCACTCTGTGGCATATAACAACAGCAACACCACCAAAACATTCATACTAGTTTCCTTTTTCCCATTACAAAAGAAATACAAAGATATTAATGAAAATTCAGAAACCAGTGGAAATTAAAATACTTTTTGGTTACCCATAGCCTCATTGCCCTAAAAAGCTAGAGTACTGGCAAATTTTCTTTTATTATTATTCTTCATGAAAGTTTTTGTTTAAATGCAGTTGCTTTATACTATACATTCAACTGGGACCTTGTCTTTGCTCTTCCAACATATTTTAATCAGTATGTGTTCCATTATGCTACATGTCAGAAGTTATTTATTCAACCCTCTGTTGGATATTTAAACTGTTTCTGCCACTGTTATGAACACCTATATTCATATAGCTTTTCATTTTAGAGTTATTTTTCTTTGCATTGAGTCCAAGAAGTGGGAAAAAATGCACCAAAAGGTCGAGTGGTTTTATCCTTTTGATAGATATTCCCAAGCTTGTTTTCTAAAAGGATTTTTGTCTCTGTACATTTCTACCACCAGCAGCATACCTTTTAGCTTTGGGATTTATTATTTTAAATGATCACAGTAGTTGAAAGAGAATATTACACATTGTTCTAATTTTCTGTCTCTCCCTCTCTCCTCTTTTTCCCCCACTCTTTTCTTTTTTATTTTGGGAAAGATAGGAGTTTGTCAACAGGTTTTCAGCAGTTAAATGGTTAAAATGCTCATCTGCCAACCCAAAAGCCAAAAGTTCGAACTCAGCAGTCTCTTCATTGGTGACAAATATAGTAGTCTGTTTCAGTAAGATTATAGCCTTGGAAACCCTATGGGGTAGTTTTAGTTCTGCTCTGCCAATAGGATTGCTATGTGTCAAACTGACTCAATGTGTGTGTTTCAGCACAAGTCCTGCATGTCATACAATGTCCTAAACTAGGTTTACAGAGGTCCTGAAGAAGCCTCGCTGCGGGACTCTGGGCATGAGAATTTCATGTCTGGCTCCTCCTGTCTTTGGCAGGAGACCCTAATGTCCCAAGGTTTACCAGGTCAGAGAAACTAACTACTGGTTTTTCCATTTGGAAAATGAGGAGTTTCTTGCTAAAGGTTCTGTCTAGTTCAAGAAGCAATTTGTTTCTGTAGCTAGCTGATTATACTGCTTTGGTCTGGTGGGGTCACAATTGTCTTTGAGTTGGCATATTTTGGAGTTGTCCTGAACGACTGTCCATGCTCAGAAGAATGGAGAGCTGTTCATGGAAAGATTCTAGTTACCCATCCCAGCTTTGGTCTTTTCATTGCTTCTTACTTATATATTGCTGCACATCCTAAACCCATTTCCACTGAAAGGCTGCAGATACAACTCACAACTGGTGCTGCCCACAGTAACATGCTCTCTCACCTACTTGACCACAGAGCTGAAGTCATGATTTCCTAGGCAACCAGATTCCTTTCCAGAAATGACAAGAGTGTCCTCATGACCAACCAGGCCCAACCATTAATGGACTGGGCCTGCAGATGACCAAAGTGCTTGTCATGTGGTTGTTGTTGTTAAGTGCCGTGGAGTCAGTTCCAATTCATAGCGACCTTTTATAGGGTTTCCGAGGTGTGGTTGGTGAGTTTGAACTGCTGACCTTGCGGTCCAGTGTTTATCCTACAGAGCCACACCAGGACTCCACATGGAAAAGGCTTGAAAAACCATAAAGGAGAAGAGAAGGAGACCCACTTTAAGAGGAGTGGAGACTGACAGGGATAACACCCCTCCCCTCAAGTTTTTCGCAGCAGTATCAACCAACACATTTCCTTTTGTGAATTAAGCTGGTTTGAAGTTGATTTTCTTTGTTGTTGTTAGTTTTCATAAAGTTGAGTTTTGACTGAGTGACCCCAGATGACAGAGTAGATCTGCCCCATGATTTTTCTATGTTATAATCGTCACAGAAGCAAATCACTAGGTCAACTGGGTGGTACAAATTGCCAACTTATCAGTTAGCAGCAAAGAGCTTAACTATAGTCCACCACCTGGGGTTTCCTCTTTTCCCCTCTTCCCTGCTTTCTTTTACTCTTTGTCTCTCAAATGATCCCCACTAACATGTCAGAGGTGAATGCTTGCCCTGTTTATTCCAATGGGAGTCCTTCTAGGCCTCCTAGGTTTATCCTTTTCTATTGTGGATTTTTTGTTTTACTTTTGCTGTAGAACATAAAATCTAAAATGACTCCAGGCTAGCAGAGTTTTATTCCGTCTTGTGCCTAAGTTTAAGTGTTCAGATGCCAATTTTTCTTGAGCACCTCATGCATCTCTGACAGCTAAACTGCCGGAGTTAGAAACAAAGTATATTTTAAAGTGGGTTTTGGGCCACTTCCCTTCTCAGAAACAGACCTGGACACATTCTTAATGGTTGCCTAGTTGTGAAGGTCAAGGAGTTCTGGTAGCATAGTGGTTACAAATTGGGCTACTAACCACAAGGTCAGCAGTTCGAAACTACCAGCTGTTCTGTGGGAGAAAGATGAGGCTTTTTGCTCCCATAAAGATTTACAGCCTCGGAAATCCTATACAGAGTCGCTATGAGTTGGAACTGATTCCACAGCACATAACCAACCAAGTAGTGAGGTCATACCCCAGAAAGCCTCAGAGCTAGCCAAGCAATTACTGGTGGTGGTGGTTATGTGCCGTGGAGTTGGTTCCAACTCATAACGACCCTGTGCAGGGTTTCTGAGGCTGTAAATCTTTACGGGAGCAGAAAGCCTCATCTTTCTCCCATGGAACGGCTGGTAGTTTTGAACTGCTGACCTTGCGGTTCGCAGCCCGATTTGAAACCACTACGCTACTAGAGCTCCCCAAGCAGTTAACCATTTGCACCATGCTGGGACTTCACAGGTGTAAGTTAAAACTCAACTATCGCTTTCAGAAGACTTAGCATCTAGCAGTGCAGAGAAGCAGCAGCAGGTAAGTTCAGGTATGAGGTGCCACACCAGGCAGAAGACTGGGGATGACCTTCACAGAGCATTTGTGCCAGGAAGCCAGGCACTTTGTATTAACGCCACGAGCCTCACAACAACCCTGGAACACAGGTCCTATTAGTTTTACCATTCCTCTTATAGTGAGAAGAAAACTGAGGCACAGAGAAGTCTAACAGCTTGCTTAAGGCCACAGAGCTCCCAGAGGGCACAGCTTGAGCTTAAACCTATACAGTCTGTTCTCAGAATCCCTCTCAAGTATTATGCCATGAGATAAAAACAAAGGGTAGAATTTACCTCACCTGAGCCCTCCTGGAACTCTCCTGACTTTCCATTCTTCTTTCTCCCTGGTACGCTTTCACTTTCCTCATGATCACTTGACTTTCTGGTTTAAACACATTAATAGCTGCAGCCACATTTATGGGTCTCTCAGGTTCCACCTTAACAGGGGTGATATTTCCTGGGGTGCACCCTTTAGAAGAGGGGTTGGGTCAGAGGGTGGTGGGAATCTCTCCAGGGATTGCTTCTTGGTGGATGGTTAATGCTATAAAGCAATAACAACACAAACACAGGAGAAGAGAGTCTTGCACAGCAGAGGAACATATTTACTTGTCAGTTCATGGTTTCAGTTCATTGTCTCAGTCCCCAGCCCATGGGGCTACCACGGCAAATATGGCAGTGATAGTGGAGCTGAGTGGTCCCCATAGTACCTCACTCTGGGGGTGGGCATGGAGGGGTGACTTTTGGAGAACAGGACTTCGGACAGATAGGCTTGGGGGGAGGGAATGGTGGGGAGCAGGGAGGGGGACATAGTGGGGGAGACTTTTGTGCACATGGTGATGGATACTTGTCCCGTGGGCACTTGTCAGAGCACCGTTGCAACAACTTCTTTAAACAGCTGGGCTGGGATTTGGACTCACACTTTTGTTCACACTTTTGCTCACACTTGGGCTCACACTTTTGTTCACACTTGGGCTCACTCTTTTGTTCACTGGATTTACTTTTATCATCACTTGACATCGCTTCTTGATTTTCTGGGCCCTGCAAAGAAATGCCAGGCAGGTTTTAGGTGGGAGGCCACACTTGAGGTCAAAGAAGACCAGTGCAATCTTCCTACTCACACCTGCTGTGCACCCTGGTTCTTAAGAAAGCCTGTCCTCAGATGGGTTCAGGTTCCAGGCTATTTCTTATTAAAGAAATTGTCCTCTTGTCATAGCTTGGATTTGTGATAATTCCTGGTCTATTCATCCATATTCTACTTTCTTTTCTCTTACTTTCATTTCCATTCCATAGTCTCTAGTAGGGTTCATGACCTAGAGTCCTTGAACCCCTAAGCATAGCAACAATATTTCATTATAGCTGGTATCTTCTATAAACCCATCGAGTTGATTCCAACTCATAATGATCCTGTATAGGGTTTTAGAGATTATAAATCTTTACAAGAGTAGAAAGTCTGATCTTTCTCCCTTGGAAAGGCTGGTGGGTTTGAACTGAAGATCTAGTGGTTAGCAGTCCAGTACCTATCCTACAGCACCACCAGGGGGCCTATGCATTTGATTTTATTCATCTAAAACATTATTCTGGGGAGTTTAATCAGACTGCTGAAGTCATCAGGGCATAAAAAAGATTTAAAATAACTCCTGTAAGACTACCTCTCTGGAAGCTGAATAGGAGGATATGCTAGTGGATATAGGAACTTGGGACACTTCAGTCATTCTGTGTCCTGCCTAAGCCCCATTAGTTTGAGAGCTACTTTCTCACTTAAGAACTGGGGAAGGAAAGACAACAGAATCTCTAACATAATGGATGACTCTAAAGTTTCTCCTTCAACCCCACCTTCTCATCTTCTGCTGGAGTTGTACCGAGCCCTTAATGTAAGGGAAAACATTAGGAGACCAGATGCACAGGGAAGTTCTAATTGTTCTGAAAACATGAATGTTGGAGCCATATACACAGTTTGAAGAATGGAGTTCCTCTTCCCCTCTGTTGGATTTTGCCCTGAGTGAGGTTGTCCTGTATGAACTGCACAACTTCTTGGATATGGACAGGGATTTTCAGTCCCTGATAATGCTTGCTGCACTCTAGTTTTCCTTTAACACTCTAAATTTTACCTAATTTACTTCAATTATACAATCAGTATGACTCCCTGAGATGCAGATCTATAAACTAAACTTGGAAATTGTTATGTGAATCTATTATAAGGTGAAGCACACCCTAGTTCTTGCTATAAACTTGTAAGGAAACTTTCACTGGAACAATGATCCCACCCCTGCTCAGTGCCTGGGGGCTGCAGGTCCTTTCCAAGAGGGGAGAGGTAAAAGAGAGGCCTTTTCTAGTTGCCTCAACGCAACTTACCGCCTTGTGTTGGTAGAGAACTTGACAAGTAGTGAAGGGGATGTTTTGGCTGTGCTTGGGAAGGTGGACTTTCCCTCTGGTTCTTCCACCCAGCTCTGAGGAAGTGGGGGTGGGGGAGGGGGGAGACTCCCACTTGTGAGATCATGCTCCGCATCATCAAGGAGCAATTGTGTGCTGCAGAGTTCCAGCTAACTCCAGGCCTTGCTGTGAGAACAGACCTATGAATAATCACCTCATTTGCTGTCCCACCTCATCCCTCAAAATTCATGCTGGTGAAGCTAGGTTACAAGGAAGGCTACTGAGCTCTAAGGAAGTCAGGCTTACTGTTGCTAGGAACAGAAAAACTATCTTCACTAGGCTTACCCATGACCTCTGTTGTCTCCCCTAGCCTCCCCAAACTGTAACCGCTGATCTTGTGGTTCAAACCAACATTGCGTTCTAGTGCTTTAGCCCACAGTGGTATACCAGAACTCCTTCCAAAAACTTTAATCTCTTTCTTCACCTTTCTAGCTAGCAAAGTTTTCCTGGATTCATTATAGCCACTTTTACTCTCCCTATTTTTCTAACATCTCTTTTTGGCAACCCTATTCTCACTGGTCCAAATCCAAGGAGGATTATTTAAACTGTTTTGTTCAATGTCTCTTTTTGTTGGACTCTGATTTTTTTTCCCCCCTCAAAGTAGTCATCTCTTGATATGCAAGGTAAATGCATATAGTGAAGAAATTCAGTTTGATGCTCCTGACCGTTCTCCACCAATTGGGTTAACCCAGGTGCTGTTTTAGACTAGAAATGTTTGCAGGGCACAGTCTCTTTAAAAGAACTTGCCAGTGGAGGGTTGTACTACAATAGGAATGTTTCTGGATAATAATGGGAGGTTGGTGTGAGAAAAGTGAGTAAGATTTAGGCACATAGCTCCTTGAATTCAGGTCCAGAAGGTTGATGTTAGCAATCATCCACTGAATTATTTAATCAAAAGCAACTTTTGATTAAATTTGTGATGTGATCATGTTTAAGATGTTGAGAGATATTTATGAAGGTCAAACATAGGATAGATTGTGGGTGGAGGGAGGGAGAAAGTAGAATTAGACTCTTTCAAAGAAGTAAAAATCTCTAAGTTTGAAGGCGGGCAGTGATTGTGGTAGAAAGAGGGGACTAATGAGAGAACATCATTAGAGAGGCAAGTTGATGGGATTTGATTACTGATTTGGTGTGGAAACTTAAGAAAACAGAAGAAAGAAATTAAGATTTGTGTTAGGGGATGGATTTGCATGTGAACATGTGAATGTGGGTACAGTGGAGCATCTTGGATGGCTACTGGAAACATGGTTCTGGTCATCATGCTACTGGTCAGCCCAGTGCTTTTCCAGTCTATTAAGCACTTATTGAATGCATGAGCCCCGGCTGGTCCTAGGAGAGGACTGAGGAAGATAAAGGGCTGGGGAGGCTGGGGAATGCCAATATAGGGCTTTTTTTGTTTTGTTTTGTATTTTTTTCCACAAAGGAGAAAGAATATCATATATATTTTAACTCAGATTAACCAAATGAAAGGGGAAGGTGGGGGGCTAGAAACTAAGCCCCTGTCATTGGGATACTTGGTGTTAGATTCATACTCTTTATATCAGTTCTATTGCTTTCTATTCATTTTCTTTCCTCCCCATATTTTGTCCATGAACTCTATATACCCAGAGCTGGTGAGAAGCATTCCCAACATTTATCTGTCTACTCAAGAGCAGGAGACACAGCCCCATCTGTTCTTCAGCTCTGGACCAAAGATACCAATAAGGCGATCTGGTGTGGTGCTATAGGAGAAGCACTGGATTGCTAAACACAAGGTTGGCAGTTCAAACCCAGCTGCTCCTCGGAAACCCTATACAGGGTCACCATGAGTTGGAACCGACAGGCTGGCACTAAACAACAAGAACAACAACAACATGGAAAAGACAGTGATTTACTACAGTGACGTAAAAGAGATGTAGTGGTTTCTGCTGACTATTGTCACTTTCATCTCTTCTTTTTTTTTCTTTCTTCTCTTTTTTTATGTCTTGTTCAAGAAGTTCTTAATGAATGAAAGTGTATCATCACTGGACTTTTTCCCTAGTGCAATTTGTCTATCTTTCCAGTCTTGAAAACCCGCCTGTGTAAAGGTCAGAACTCCTTCATTTAATAACCCAGATACCGGGCTATCTTTTGGCTTAGGGTTTAGTTGGCAGCACCTGGCAGCAAGGCACTATGGGGACGAAACATTGAACAGGCTTCTTTGATGACTGGTCCCATAAGGAGACAGGTTGGAAGGGAAAATGAGTGAGTGTTGAAGCTTGCCTTAGTTAAGGGTTAAGAGAGATTACCCTGAAGTCAGATCTCCATGTTAAAATTCTGTTTTAGTCCTTCAGTTAACCAATAACCCCTTAGTAATTGACTTAACTTTTCTACGTCTCATTTTCCTCAGTTGTAGAATGCTATAATAATAGCACCTATCTTAGGCTAATACATAACTTGCATGGTGTGCAGCATCTAAGCATATTTTCCAGCGCAGATCCTACACTCTCGAACCTTGTACTACACAACTTCACTATACTTATGGGGTTACTAGGAAAATTAATTAAGACACTATGCATGGAGATCCCCTAATCAAAAGGTTGGTGGTTGCAACCTACCAGCCATTCTCAGAAACCCCATACTGGGTCGTTATGAGTTGAAACTGACTCTACAGCACACAACAACAAAATCACTATTAGTAATTTATTTTTGAATATAGTAAATATTTTTGTCAAGGTTGGCTTGGCTTGCTCATCTCTTGGTTTGCCTGATATCTATCTATCTATCTATCTATCTATCTATCTATCTATCTATCTATCTATCTATCTATCATCTATTATCTATGTATCTGTGTTTTCTGATCTTGACCCTGAGTTCCCACTTCTGCAATTCAATATTTGTCTTGGACTGCTTCTCCATATTGTATTTGTTTTTGCTCTGTCTTCAAGTCAAAGCTTCTGGGGGTAGTCAAAGTAAGATTAGGCATTTCAATAGTAACTGTTAGTGGATGATTTCAGTTTTAAGTAGGGAGGTATCAATAGTAAATGCTATTGATTAAAATAAAAACTAAAACTTTTACTAAGGCCAACAAAGGCATCAGCGATTCCTCCCTGTGTGCCTCCAGGCCTGGTATGTCTGACATCATACAGGCCAGGGAGGTTCAGTGTCAGCTGCTTTTCTTATGAGGAACCCTCCCCTTTTTTGCTTTCTTTTCTATTTCTATCTTTCTAGGTAATTGAACACATAGGACCAGCAGAAAGAATTGAGAAAACAAATGAATTCCTTCCTTGGGTGCCTCTTCAAATCCTCTTTGTGGTATTGAGGCTTCCTCCCTCCGAAAATGAAATGTCTGGCAGATACAACTGCTTTTTTAGAATCATGCTTGAATAAAAATGTTAAAAAGCAAAGGTGTCACTTTGAGGACTAAGGTGCATCTGACCCAAGCCATGGTATTTTCCATCACTCCATATTATGAATCGGGCTGCGAACCTTAAGGTCAGCAGTTCGAAACTACCAGGCGCTCCGCGGGAGAAAGATGAGGCTTTCTACTCCTGTAAGGATTTACACCCTCAGAAACCCTGTACAGGGTCGCTATGGGTTGGAACCGACTCGACGGTACTTAACAACAA